TTATCTCTTGCTGCTGTTCCAAAGATGCTGTTCTGATGTCTTTTCTTCTTTGATTTGTTCCTTCACATTTTGTAAAACGAGATGGAACTTACTGGTTGACTTTTGACCAATCGCTTTCCCTGTTTCAGAGGTTTGTTGAAAGAATAAAATAGGAGATCCAATTTGTCTTTTCCCAATATTTCCTATATGATGTAGAACCTTTTAATATTTTCATAGATTCACAGAGTCCTGTGCATTTTCATGTCAGACTTCATCTTGTTGGCACTGAAATGTCTTGACAGGTTAGTCATTATAATTGAATGTAATTGCCATTCTCTTGACATGCAGTATGTGCAACCAAGTAGCTCCCTGGAAGAAGTGTGTTCAACAGAGGGAGGGGATAAGAATTATTTTAAAAGGTGAAGCTTACATTCCTGCATTAAAATTTTAATTTCATTTTCTTCTATTTCTTGGCCCCTGCCAACCCTGTGCAGGTATGTGAATGCACAAAATGATAAGAGGTTGACTAAAATTTATGATGTGAAATGGAAGAATGTGACACAGGACTGACATTTTTTATGTCAATTATAAGTTATACAATCCAGTTCTATGCTACTAGTGAAAAATGAACTAAAATATGAAAAGTCATGGAAGAAAAAAAAAGATTTGTTTTTTAAAAAGGTGAACTACATTGCTAGCAGGATCCTCTGATGCTACTATAGGCAATTAAAATTGAGCAATGCATCATGTTATAGAATAATAATAAATATAATTCAAAGAGCAAAGTCATTAAAATTTATCCAGTCAACAACCTATTAGAATTGTCTGCATATGGGAAAATACCAGTTTCATTCATTATTGCAAACTACTTAAATATAATTATTAATAATATAAATAATAACAGCAATAATAAAATATTAATTTGGGATAATGTTGCAATTTATACCAACTGGTATATGTTTTGACAGCAGGCAAGTAACATGTTTACAATATCTGAGCATGACCGGTGATATCATTATACATGATATGAAAGAAGGCTTTGCTGGAAGATCACTATAGAAGAGGGTTTACCATATCTGATCCTGCTTTGCTGTGTACATCTCTGATGGAGAACTTCCTTGGAAATAATTGCCTACATCAAAAAATTTTAAAAAATACAATTGTTAAAGTTTATTGATACAAACATAAAAAATGAATACAAAGTAATTAAAAATATACGGTAAGCTTTAAAAAATAGAAAGTACAGAGAAAGAAAAAAAGAAAAAGAAAGAAAGAAAGTGGAAGGAAGGAAGGAAAAAATATATAAAGAAATAAAGTGACTTCTGCCTTCATTAAGACAAGTACTTATCAACTTCTCTGATATTACAACAAAATAGCTCTTCTTCCTTCCCATATCTCATCACTTCTTTATAAACAAATTTTAAAAGCCTTGTTGGACCTTATATACCTTTCCTTTTGCTGTTAAGAAAAGTTGAACTTTGAATAGTATTCAAAATTTCTTTTCATTTTCTTTTTGTCACTTCTCATAAACTGCTTCATAAATTTATTTCTCTATTTGTAAATCCAAGATAAGAAAGTCATCCAAGTTACTCTTGTGTTTTTTTTTACTTGTATATGCCTTTTAATTAATAAGACATCAGCTGGTTTCATTTTAAATCATTTTTTTTGTAATGAACATTTTCCCACACTTAAAATCTTCATATTTTTAAATAGGATTTCAAACAACCCACAGAAAATATTCTTATAATTCAAAATCTTATTTCAAACCCATTGACCTCTTAATCCATTTATAATTTCCCCAAAACAGTATTCACCTCTTGACTGTTTATTCCAAAATAATTTTAAGACCTTAAAATTACATAAAACCTTTTTTACCAGGGAGTGAAAGGAATTTCAAATTGCGTAATGAAACTTACCTTTATGAAGGTTCTTAATATCCAAAAAGTAATTTCCAAAATAATTAAGTATGCAAATTCTTGTAAAGGTCCCAAATTGTTTCTTGGGCAGAGATTGGTTTACCTTGACTCCCAGAGCAATAAAAATCTGCCAAAAACTGTTATGGTTTTCTTTGAGCGAATCACTGTATGGAGCAATAGCAATAGCAATAGCAGTAGACTTATATACCGCTTCATAGGCCTTTCAGGCCTCTCTAAGCGGTTTACAGAGAGTCAGCATATTGCCCCCAACAATCTGGGTCCTCATTTTACCCACCTCGGAAGGATGGAAGGCTGAGTCAACCCTGAGCCGGTGAGATTTGAACCGCTGACCTGCTGATCTAGCAGTAGCCTGCAGTGCTGCATTTAACCACTGCGCCACCTTGGCTCTACCTGTGAACTGCCCGGAATTCTCCTTATCCAGAGGGGAATTCTGATCCATTTGTTGGTTCCTTGTTCTACCACTGTTATTGGCTCAGCTCTCCATGAAGTCCCTCATTAGTCCCCCATTGTTTCCTTTGAAGTCCTCTGCAAAGATCCAAATGCTTATGTTTTTAAACATCCCCAATGTTTAACAACATAAGCATTTGGATCTTAGACATTTGCCAAGATCAGTCCTTTTCAAACAATATATGTTTGTGTGTGCGTGTGTTTGACTGTGTGCAAGCTGATTTCAGTAAGAATTCTGAAAATCATGGCTTAGAAAAAGCAGAAATCTATTGGTAAAATAATAAGCAGTATTAATAGATACAACCAGGCAGTCAGGGTTATTCATTGAGGACAGTGGTGGGTTCCAGATCCTGTCGCAACCAGTATGCTGCGATAGAGCTGGGCATCCACCATGCGTATGCATGCTGCACACTCATGCGCACCCATCACCCATGATGCTTCAGTTGCTCAGAGGAGCGTTGCACAGGTGCTGTATGCTGTGTGCGCAAATGGCCCGGTTGGGTCAAATACAGCTAAGGAACGAGAGCGAGCGGGTAGGCCCTCCGAAGCACCATACCAGAATGGTGCCTGTTGCTCCCAGCAGGCACCAGTACACCCATACTGGGGCGTACCACTTGAAACCCACCACTGATGGAGGATGGATAAACAATGTCAAAATCAAAAGTTTGGGCAATCAAAACCCTTTCCCCTTTAACAACTGTGTGATGGATATGAAGGACATTTTGACACCCCTCCCCCATGGGTACTCCTGAGACATCCAGTGGATAAAGTGTTGGATTAGGATCTGTGAGACACAGGTACACGTCCATCATCAGCTATGATTATTTACAGCCCATCTTATTTACAGCATTGTCATGATTGCTCTTTGGGGGAAAATTAGAGAAGGGATGCTATACATGTTACTGTAGTCTTTTCTTGGTGAAGTGGGGTGTAAATTTAGCAAATACATGAAATAAATGTGTCTGTTGAACCATCTGTCAGGGTGCTTTGAATTGGATTCCTGCATAGAACAGAAAATTGGATTCTATAGCTTTTCAAATTTTAAAGTTCTACCCTTTTTAAAAAAGCATTAGCTTATTTCCAGAATATTTCCACTGTGCTGTTCTGTTAATGAGCCATTCTAAGCTCTTACAGTCTTTTAGAAAATTAAGTTATCCATACCAATCATTGGAAGGTATGGTCCTTCTGAAACACATAGAGTGCATAATCATACTTTAATCTCTGCGTGTAGCTGACTGGTTCCTACAGATGCTGTGGTTTAGGTATTTAACTGTGCTGTGGATGTTCTTTGTTTGCTTTGCAAGTAAAACAATAATGAAATAGTGGGCACTTGGTGGTGCCTGCTAGCTCTCTTTATTGCAGATGCTATTTTTCTTTATTTGGCAACTGGCACCTGAAACAGACTTAAACAGAATGTGAAAAATAAAACCTATTTCATGTAATATATCTTTCTTTAAAAGGAGCTACCACTTATTTGCTTGTGTTTCTCTTGCCAATCTTGCTATCTCTTGCTCTGTAAACTCACTGGGATTCCCAAACACAGCATGAATATTCATTTTAGCAATTCTTGGGAAATATTTAACGAATTCAAAAAGATTATCGCAATGTATATAGCATTCATTCAGTAAGGTTGAAGAATGTTGTTCTTCCCAATATCTTATATTTACTTTTAGAGGAAATTACTGGTCAGAAATTTGATGGTTTTGATTGATACCCTTTCTGTTCCCCAGTGAAAAACTTGTTTTCCATTTTTCCCCAACCACAGGCCATGCTCTGCTTAATGAAGAAAAGCTAAATTAATGAATTACTTGATTAGAAGATGATCCTGATTTGTTTTATCCTTGATAAAAAAAATTAATAAAATACCAACTTCTCCATCCAAAGCTATACTGAAAGATTTTTCTTCTTCTCCCATAATGATTGTGTGTAATGCTTTTGTGTGTTAATGGCATATATATCCAGAAGCCACACTTTTTAAAAAAAGGCAGAGCCAGAATAAAAAAGTCATTAATTCTATTACTAACTTCTGATTAAAATCAACTGGTTGTAAAATATCCAGTTAATAATAATCTTCAAAGGTTATTGAACCTTATTATTAATAACCTTTTGTAAAGTTAACTGTTTACTCCCAAGCAGTAACTAATGTTAAAGGGAAGTGATTTTATGGCTATCTATAACCATTTGTATCTCTCACCTCTCCCCATGTTTTTAACATAATTTATTTTCTCTGCTGTTTTCTCAATATAAGATGATGATCCTAAACCCATATATTTTCCAGTAATTATAAGAGTGGGGTGGTGGCTTACTCTTACATACAGTAACTATGGTATTTGCCAGAAACATGAAATGATTTTTTTAGGCAAAAGAAACCTAACTTGATGGTTTGTCAGTGGGTAAAACCTTTTAGAAATAATGTAATTATTATGTAGTTGAGTCTACCAATGCTCACACTTTGCATATGCTTTGTTATTAATTCATTTTGTTCACATCTTTAATTCAAACTGACACAGCGCCCGAAGGCTTTCATAACTTTCTCTAATGGAATTTTGCACTTATATCTAATACTATTGGACGCAGTTGAAATGTTAATATAACTGGCTAAGTTACCTCTATATGTTTTTTATGTGTGTGTTGCAGCTGGGGCCACATATATCTTTGGGAAAAGTGGAGGCCTCATCCTGTATACTTGGCCAGCAAATGATAGACCCAGCACAAGGACAGACCGCTTAGCTGTTGGGTTCAGCACAACAGTCAAAGATGGCATCTTGGTACGGATTGACAGCGCCCCTGGCCTTACTGACTTTTTACAACTTCATATAGTAAGTACAGATCTTTTATCCTTCGTTTTGCCTTTGGTTTTAATGGCTACACAAATGCATTTAAACAGCCAAAGAAGAAAATAAAACAAAAACAAAATCCTACTTATAAAGTACATATTTCTAACAAATGTCATCTTAAACACCAATTAAAAATTGGGGTTTTTTTCCACTAGTGTACATAAGATGTATCCTGGATGAGTCTAAAGATAATCTAAGCCTTTAAGTCTGCTTGTTTAATATTGTCTTAATAGAAGCAACTATAGTTTACATTGGACAAAATCTAAATTTATACTTTTGTAGGGTCAGACCAGCGTCTCTTTGTCCATTGCACTCTTATGACTTCGTTTTTTTTTTCCTGTGACTCCACTGGCCAGGTTCCATTATTAGATATGGACATAGGGCAGTAACTGGTACATTCTCTGGAGTCAACAAAACAGCATTTGCACTTTTTTCCTGTGCCTCCCTCAGTACATGCCAAATCCCCACCCCATTACATGTTTTTTCACCTGTGGTTTACTTGGAATATCCAGATGACATATGGGTCCTGATAGAGAACTGTTGATTGCATTATAGAAGAAACATAAAAAGAAGCTAGAATAGTCTTAAGTAATGGCAAATTAAAGAGGGTGGAAGCTAACTAACATTTCAGTGTCAGCAACCATATACTAGTAACTAGTACATACATCTGCAAACTGGTGATCTCTAGATTTTTTAGATTTATAGTTTTCAGATTTGTCAGCCAGAATGTCTAATACCTGGTATTTCTGGGATTTGAAGTCCAATAAACCGGAGATAGATTGCATTGGGTATTAGTCTCCAATTTTATTGACTGTGGGGTAATGGATATCTGATCATAAAACAGTCAAACTGAAAATGACTCAAAGATACACATAAAGGAGGATGAATAAGGAACCAATTTATGGTTTATTGTGTAATGCAAATATTGAAAAAAAAAATACCAGCATCTCCTTGCTACCTATTTAACATGCCATCCTTACTACTCCTATTCTTGATTTCTAAAAAAAAAAACTTCCATGCATTATTTTAGACTTCCCCAAATTAAACTCCAGAGTAACTAAGATTCAAGATACTATATTATTTAGTATAAACATTTAATATATATATGGATGTTCTTCAATCTGGCATGGTTCATAAAATATATAGAAATACCCAGTTCCAACAGTATTTTTTGGAGTTCAAGTAAAAAGAGTTCATTATTTCAAAATCTCTTTTTAGATTATTGTGCTATGTTCTGCTTTTGTTTGTTCTTCATCAATGTTTGGAAACTACATTTTATTCTAAAGTGCTGGTCAAGTTGTATTTCATAATAAGATTACAATGGTGCTATATTACACTGTTTTTCAGTAATAATTGAATTGCATTTTTTAATTTACTAAATGTTTTGGGGCATATGGAAAACCAACTCTTTGTTCATGTACAGGATCATCATGTTATGGTGATCACTGACTAAAGGCCACTATATCCCATTATCTTAAGAAACAAAGTTGTTGAGTATTTAGGAGAAGACCTTTCCTCATATTAGCACTGTGATTATGGGACTGTCTCTTGACAAGAGTGAAATTGGATCCTTCGATAGGGCATTGTGCAGAGTTCTCTGAGATTTTCTAAATTGTCAAGTCTTCTAATACCATATTGTTTAATAACGCTCTAATTTTAATTCCATTCTCAAATTTCATTGAATGAATGTTTGGTCTTGGTGAAGAAAGCAATTTTCAAGTTTAATGAAATAAACACAAAAGAATGTTATCCTACTGCAATCTCATTTGATTTGTTTCCTATCAGCAATACATGCTTTTCTATAATCAGTTTTACAACATTGGAACTGTTATCTTGGTTTTCATGTCTTTGTCCTTATGAATGAGTTTTAGTCTACATCTACCCAGACACTTACCTTTTTTTTGCAGTAACAGTATAATCTTTATGGATTTGCTTCAGTTTATTCTTTATTGCTGTATTAGTATTTAAAACACCTCTGTTTATTATTGCGTAAGTATTTTTTTTAAAAAATCCTTAAGATCGAGAATGCCTATGACTTTTAGAGCAAAATGAAATAATGAACCTCCTACATAAAGAATACACATATAAATACACAGACATATTCTCTCATAATCAAACACATAAAAAACATACAATAATATGATAGCAATTTCCAGTTCCTAATTGGTATTTCTCTGATAATGTCTCCCTTGAAATCTTAAAGGCAGTTCCGGGGATTCTCAGGACACATTATAACACATATTTTCTTATATGCGTATGAATAAAAAAAAATCTTATTAATTTTTTCATGACTATAATTTATGAAAAACCTTTTTGGATTCGTTTTTTTAAAAATTATGAGTCCTTTAAATACTCAGAGATTTATGTGCTCAGGCATCTATTTTGTATGTATCTCTCTCTCACACACAGACACATACAAAGGGAAGGAGCAAGGAAAGGAAAGAGGGAGGGAGGGAGGGAGGGAGGGAGAGAGAGAGAGAGAGAGAGAGAGAGAGAGAGAGAGAGAGAGAGAGAGAGAATAGATGGCATACTTCCAGAATGATTCAGTTCATCAATTGATATTAATAGTTAGGTGGGATTAAATGTATCCTTAGAAAGGATGCAGTGCTATTTTGTTACTGTTCCACCTTGGGAGACGAATGGCATGTCTCTGTTGGAGGTAGACTGATTTCAGTCCTTCAAGATAGGCCAGGCCAAGAAACAAATTCCATAAAATTATTGGAATACAACTTTATAGTTTAAGCTAATGGAATATTGAGAGTTTTTGTCTCCTTCCTCTTACACCCAAGAGAATCAATGTGCGACAATCTCCAATTTTTTTCCATTCCATCCTCCTTTCCAAGCTAAACTGAATTTAATGTAACAGCTATTGAACACTTTTTTTTATCCCAAGCCAACTCTGTCTCCAGAAGTTTTGAACTAACCCAAAGTGCTTCTATATATGCATTTACTCTACTCCACCCTACTGCACCAACAGTGATGTGTGATCTACAAGAAGCAAAAATTGCTCATAGAAAATAAAACAAGGATTCAGTAAGGCATCTGTGGCTTATGAAAGAGATTGTACTGCTGACATCTAAGAAGATACAAATCATTCACCTGGTTTTTAGAGCTTTATATTTCTGCCTATCAACTAAGTATTTATTGCAACCTATTCTTTCAGTATTTGTAAAAGAAATAGATGTGTACTGATTCTCCAACAGATGTTAAGGACTAAATCTGGTAAGATAAAAACCAGGAATACCCAGTTTATAGCAAATGCTTATATAAACAAGTCTATGTGACTGCATGCCTTACTTGAGAAAGCTTGGAAGAAAAAGCCCAAAATTTAAATTCTGAAGCATAACCCGATAGAAGGGCTTTGACTTGTCTGCACTGCACAGAAGTAAACTATGTCCATACTAGTTCCCTGATCCATCAATATCATTCAACAATAAAGGCAATGCAGTTTTTTTCTGACATCATCTGTTTTTAACACGTCCATGTTGGCTTCTAGAAATAGTTTTATTCCTTTCTAGGTGCTTGTAAATTCACTGCTTGGTTTTCTTTTTGAGTATTCCCAGATATTAATGTCATGCTGATTGGTCAGTAATTTCCTGGATCCAATATTTCCCCTTTTTTTGAAGATTGGAACTACATCAGTTCATTTCCAGTCTGCTGGTAGTTCCTGATGCTTCAGGGAGTTTAAAAGATTGTGCTCGGTGGCTCTGAGATCACATCTGCCAGCTCCTTCAGAAACATTGCATGTAATCCATTTGGTGCTAGCAATTTGAATTCATCTAGAGTGCATTGGTGGCTTGTAGAGTTAAGACACTGGGTTGGAGGTTAGCAAGCCTGTGTTTGGAACCTAAGTGCTGCCATGGGATGGGACATGACCAACTGGGTGTTCCCAGGGCAATAGTGATGTCACCAGCTAATCCTTTCAACCTGGACGAGCGTTTGTGCTTCTGACATGAGTGCAATGTGATCTAGAGTGGATCGATTGACATATATTCTAGTATATCTTCTATGGTATTGCTTTTGATAGGTAGGGCTATTTTTTTTTCTTTTTCATAAAAATAGATGCAAAGAATGAATTGTGCTCATTCTTGTCATCTTCTTCCTTTAGCGGACCAATTGTTTCCTTGATTTTTTTCCCCTTGTTGCTTACATGTTGAACATGGGCACATGGTAATCATAACATATGGAATTAACCCAATTTTCTTGGTTTGCATGATATCATTAACTATAATCTAACACATAGGCTGAGTTTATGCAGTATATTAGGCTAATTCTTTTGAATTCTCCCGCATTTCTCTTCCTTGAAGGATAGACATTGATTGACTCCACATACAGTACATAAAAGAAAGAGTAAAGAAAAACTCACAAAACAAGAGAAAATAAATAGGAAATCAAACGCGTTAATTAGAATATGTCAAATAGTTTTCTAATCAGTATTTCCAGTGGGAAAATACTTGTTCAGTAAAAGAATGATATCAGCGCCTTCTGTCATTGATGGCTAATGAGTATCCATCCATCTTTGCATCATTTTTGTACATTATCTAATTCTGTTTGTATACCGTAACAATTTAACTTGTGTTAGTGTTATTTTTGACCTATAGCTCAGCTTGAATATTTGCAAAAGCCAATGAGTCTTCAAAAACATAATTAATATGTCAAATAACTTTTGTCCAAGAGACCAAGTATAAAATAAAACTACACTGTGAGAATCATAATTTAATTATAATTATAGTATATTTGAGTAATTGTATTAATTACAATTTTAATGTAATTCCAAACTAACAATATGACAATTACAATATGTCTAAGAAAATGTGAAATATGGATGCTAAAATGGCATTCCAGATGTTCAGGTATCAGACTCTTCAATTCCTTATTTCATTTCTCTTATGCTTCAGTACATTCTGACAACTTTTAATAAAATGTCTGTAATGGCAAATTTCGAATATGTAGGACTTGATAATTTTTGACCTTAGAAAAAA